GAAAATTAGACAACCGATGTGACACTAAGAGTGAAGCGACAATATTCCAATGTTAAGTGATGATGTCATTAATATTGAGTGATAAGTTGGACAAAAGATAGTTTTTATTTCAGTCTGTCTAGTTAGTTTTCATTTATGTCTCTCGTCTAATAGCTACTGATAGTCATATCACTCGACCAACTTTTCTTCATCTCAGGGATTAACCAAACGTGCGAAGAGAACTAGGGCGACAGCCGACCAACTTTTTGAAAAGATAATTGGGGAACATGAACAGGTTGCTAAGAGTGGCCAATTCCAGTATCATCATCATAAAGACTTTGTAGACGTGCTGCTTTCACTAATGAATCAACCATTAAACCCTTACGACAAGCAAGCCTACATGATTGACCGAACAAATGTGAAAGCCATCTTAGCCGATATGATTACGGGTGCCTTCGACACTTCATCTAACGCAATCATGTGGAGCCTCACAGAACTCTTGTGACACCCAAGGGTAATGAAGCATCTCCAACAAGAGCTTCGAACTGTGATCGGGATAGACCAGATGGTGGAAGGGAATGATTTACCAAGGTTGAGTTACTTAAATATGGTGGTCATGGATGATAACTAAAGAGAAATCATAATTTCCAAGAAGATTGAGAATCAGAAAAATGAAGAACTGATTAAAATGAAGAGCAAGAAAAACAGAAGCTTGCAGAGCACGATGAATATTTCAGTGTAATGAAAGATACAAATACAAGCGGTTGAGCTACTATTTATAGCTAAACACCAGTTGTCAAACTTAGTAACTAAGTTAACTAAATAGCCCATTTGTACAATCTAACAAAGGAACGGAAAATATTACATTATGTTAATACTTCCTCTCAATCTTAGCTGGGATATCCCAATCTAAGATTGGAACAATGCCGAACAAATAAAGGACCGTGTAATCCCTTTGTTAGTACATCAACAATCTGAGCCTCTGTTGGAATATAATGGACTTTCAAATCTTTTTGAACTCTCAACCTAAGAAAATGAAAATCAGTATCTAAGTGTTTAATCCTGGTATAAAATACAGGATTAGAACACAAAGCCAGTGTGGAAAGATTATCACAATACAACAATGGTGCAGAAGGAAGAAACAAATGAAGATTTTTCAAAACCAATCTTATCTAGGCAATATCAGTCGCTGCATTGGCTAAGGCTTTATATTCAGCCTCGGTTGAACTTCGAGAAACACTTCCTTGCTTCTTTGATTGCCAAGAAATAGGATTAGGCCCCATAAATATGACATATCCAGTTGTGAATCTCCTTGTATTTATGTCAGCCACCGAGTCAGCATCACTGTATGCAAAGAGTTCCAGATTCTTAGCACTAGAATATGTAACTCCACAAGTTAATGTACCCTTTAAATACCTTAGAATCCTCTTCACCAGACAAAAATAAGCTTCAGTAGGAGTAGTCATAAACTGACATGCATAATTGACAGCATATGCAATATTTGGCCTTGTAAAGGTTAGATATTGCAATGCACCCACTAAACTCCTATACATAGTAGGATCAACCAATGGTTCTCCCTCATCTTTCAATAACTGAGTATGTGGTTTACTAGGAGTGGAACAAGGTCTACAATTCACCATACCTACCTTGTTAAGAAGATCAGTCACATATTTGGACTGATTAAGAAAAATAGCTCCATTGTCTCTGTAAGTGACTTGAAGTCCAAGAAAATAAGTTAGTTTCCCAGTGTCTTTCATGTCAAACACATGTGCCAAGTCATCTATTACTTTCTGTACTAACTTGGAAAAAGAACTGGTAATTATGATATCATCGACATAGAGTTATAAGATCACCACATCACCGCCACTGACTTTCACAAATAAACTTGGATCTGAGTGAGAGGTTTGAAACTCCAAAGTTGGAAGATAGCTAGAAAATTTTGCATTCGAGGCTCGTGGAGCCTGTTTCAATACATACAGAAATTTGAGAAGCGTACACACATGATGAGGGTATTTGGAGTCTTGAAAACCTGGAGGTTGTTTCATAAAGACCTCTTCTTGTAACTCTCCATGTGAAAAAAGCATTTTTTTACATCCAACTGCCTTAATTCCCATTTGTACATTGCTGCAAGTGACAGAACAAGTCTAACAGTTGTATGCCTAACAACTGGACTGAATGTTTCTTCATAGTCTAACCCTTGTTCTTGATTGTACCCTTGTGTATCCAGTCTAGCTTTGTATCTAGACAATTTTCCTTCTTGATCTCTCTTGATCTTATACACCCATTTGCTCCCTATGACATTTCGAATTGTTGGAGGAGGTACCAACTCCCAAGTACCTTGTTTCTGAAGTGCATTAAACTCCTCTATCATAGCATTTCTCCATGATTCAGACATGATAGCTTGTTTATAATGTGAAGGCTCAAAGGGCTCATGAATATCAAGCACAGCAATAAAACCATTGAAAACTACATCATCGTTATGTGGTATGAGATTTACTTCTGTACCAAATAGAGGAACATGATAGGCTGCATAATCCCTTCTTTGAATGATGCCACTTTTCAACCTTGTGGTCATATTCTGCTCAGAAGAAACAATTGGTGCAATACTAGGAGTGACAGAATTAGACATATCATGAGCAACAGCTAAATGAATTGGAACATCACAAGATATATCAAAAGTATGAGATAACTCATCAGAGGAAAGAGGTACCTGAGTATGGGAACTAGCATGGACAGGCAACATATGAGAGCAAGAAGAATTTAACAGTGGAGTAGTAGCTTAAGTAGTAGCTTGTGATGTTACATTCTCTTGATTTACAGGCATACTTGAACTCTGAGATGTTGTAAAAGGAAAAACACCTTCATCATGTACTAGATCGGTATCATCGATTCATCATTGCATGATCTCCTTCTCAGGGATTGAACAAGCGCATGAAGAGACTTAGCAAGACAATCGACCAACTTCTGGAAAAGATAATTGGGGAACACGAACAAATTTCTAAAAGTGAGCAACTACAAGGCCGCCCTCAAAATCATAAGGACTTTGTGGAGATGCTGCTTTCATTGATGAACCAACCATTAAACCCCAACGACGAGCAAGTCTACGTAGTCGACCGAACTAATGTGAAAGCCATCTTACTGGACATGATTTCGTGTGCCTTTGACACGTCAGCGACCACAATTGTTTGGAACCTTGCCGAACTCTTGAGGCTTCCTAGGGTAATGAAGCCTCTCCAACAAGAGCTCCAAACCGTGATCGGAATGGATAGAACGGTGGAGGAGAGCGATTTGCCAAAGTTGGCCTACTTGAACAAGGTTGTCAAAGAGAGCTTTAGGCTACATCCGGTAGCACCGTTGCTGATTCCCCGTGCATCCATGGAGGACATCACGGTTGATGGATATCATATACCCAAGAAATCCATCATCTTTGTGAACATCTGGACGATTGGGAGAGATCCAAGTGTATGGTCAGATAATGTGGAAGAATTTTACCCTGAAAGGTTTAATGACAATGACGTTGACCTTAAGGGGCATGACTTCCAGCTTTTACCATTTGGGTCCGGAAGAAGGGGGTGCCGTGGCATGCAACTAGGGTTAACCACGGTTCGTCTAGCTCTGGCAAATTTGGTCCACTGCTTCAATTTTGATCTCCGAGTGGCCTGCTCCCTAACGAATTGGACATAACTGAGACTTTTGGGCAGTCGCTGTCAAAAACCGAACACTTGCTCGTCGTGCCCAAATATCGCCTACACGATTAACATTCATAGAGATTTGGTTTTGCATATCGTGTGTATATACCATTGTTCTAAATATACATTGTTTTAAAAATTTCCGCCTAATGCCGTCTAGGTTCTGTCTAACACACCTTCGCATTTGAAAATTAAGAAAGGGCGCATAGCCCACCTCGGTCGCGACTCTCACTTACAAAATAAATAACTTTTATTTTGCATTTTATTTTTTTCAATAAATCGTAAGCGACTTGTTAAATACTTGGATGAATAATCTATGTTATTTTATTTTACAATTTATGTATCTTAATATAATTATGTAATTTATTTTATATATTTTGCAATTTATATATACATATACTAAATAATAAAGTACCTATTTTTCTTTTTTTGATCCCATTTGTTACGTTAGATCGCCAAACCTAAATAAGATAATCGATGACTTTATTGTAAAGATCCATCATCATATTCATGACACTATTCCAATCATTCAAAAGGACCATAAACAAAATGTAATCTAACACAACTGGCAGGGTTTTGTAATTTTACTAGTTTAACAACAACCACCACCACCACCAACACCACCAAGCCTTGTCGCACTAAGTGGGGTTGGATTTATGAATCCTAAAATATTATTGCGCTCGATTTTGTGCCAAGTATGTTGTCCTCAATATAACCAGTTTATCAGACGACGAAAATTTTTGTTATATCCCCGATTTGTTCTGGCTGTATATATACACATATCTGACACCTCCTTTTAGTCCCATATGATTATTCTGTTAGCAATAGTCGTCGTCCTCTTTTTTAGCCTCCTTTGGTCTCTCGTTCACATCCTACCTCCGGATTCCAGAGTTCAAAACACCGAAAGCTGCTGGCTGGCCCCTAGGGCACTACCGGTCATTGGTAACCTTCATATAATAGATAAGCCCTCCGACGCCTAGCCAAAAAATATGGACCTATAACGTCCATTCGCCTAGGCACCAAAACCACCATAGTCCCCCAAGCCGCAGAGCTACTCTTCAAAACCCACAACACCGTTTTCGCTAGCCGCCCCAAATTCCCAGCCCGAGTACTTGTCCGATGGTGCATGGGGCATTGTCTTGACCGAACATGGATGCTATGCTACGTAAGAAAATCCTAGTAGCATTAAATGCCACATAAGATATTTAAACTACTCTAAAATATGGGAATGGGAGATTCGAATTTGGAAGCAAGAGGTGGGCAGGCCCACGACCCTGGCCACCTCCATCCACGTCGAAGTGACAAATAAATTAATTTAAAGATGGCTTGTGCTAAAACAATAATCTTTCAAATACGATTATGATTTATATTATAAGAACAAACTGTAACTGTAATCCTGGACGTTTAAAAGTAACTATACCTTCAAAAACTGTGAGCGCAACGCGATACTCCACTTTAATACTACAAAACCATTTCAATCAAAACAAAATTTTGCTCAAAGTATTTAAATGTTGTCTAGGAGTAAATACACCATTGCATTTGCCTTCGGTCGGAAAAACAAGATATCACCAATGTTGACAAAAACAAGACAACCGCCCCTTCTCTAGCTCGTCATTGTCTGCAAAAAACAGAAAAGAATGCACACGATTAAGTTTACGTTTTGAACTTTGAAGAATGAGCAGTTTCGTTTAGTATTATGGAATGACCAAGAGTGAAAATTAATGTCGAAATAAATTGGTTTTGCAAGAAAGCAATGTCAAGAGATAAAATTACACACACGCCACAAGGAACACCTAGTGGGACTGCATATATTACTAACGTATCAGGAAAAACCCCGGTTGTGCAGAAAAGGACTGCACTCCTCTACATCTACCTTAAAATTAAGAAACGGAAAAACAGAAGAGAACAGAACTAAAACATCACACTACTTATTACAACACAACAGGATATAACACCACAAACCAGCATATGAGAACGAACGTGATAAGCTGAAAATAACACGCATAAATTAGTCCATGATCCTCTCACTAAAGAAAGCAGCCAGCCTAAACGAGACAAGAAAGGAGAAAAGGAGACATGAAACGGATACAACACAAATAATGAGACTATTTTCACACAATTTTAACACCATCGACTTTCATCAATGGATCCAACAAATCACAAACAATCCGTTTGAAAGTTGAACTCTTTGTAATATTTCTTACCAATTAACTGACAGATTTGGTCAACTGATATGACCACTTCCGCTTCCAAAAGGATGAATCCTTCTTAGTGAGCTTGATTATCGAACCTGAGAAGGAGAACATAGCAACCCAGAAGCATCTGCCCCAACCACTGCAAGATCACAAACAGTACATAACTGCCCTTCTTGAGTTGCCACAAACCGTGAGCTACAATATGGGCAAGAGACATCCCTCTGTCCTCGGTAAATTGGTACATATGTTGCCCCACAAATCACAAATGGGTTTCTGAAATCATAGTTCAGTTGAGATTTATCAGTCATATTCCTTTCTGCAGCCTGCAGCACTTGCCGAGCTTTCTTTGCTTGAATCTCATTGGTGGGGTTGGTTTCCAACAGCCGCCTGGCAAAGTTAGCTGCGGTGGCAATGTTCCCTGCCTTGTAGCAAACAGTCAGTGCACTAATCAAGGCAAGCCGTAAGTGAGGCGTTTGAAGATTGCAGTGTGTGAAATAAGCTGCAAGCTCCTGCTCCCGTTTTGGATCATCTTTTGTTTCCCTTCTCCTCAGCTCAATTTGTAATCCCAAAACATACTCTTTGACTATTATAATTAACTCCTTGACTTCATCAACTTCCCTCCTAGAATCAACAACAATCAAAGGAATTGTGTGAAGAATGCTCAGAAAGATCTTAAGAGCGTCAGGGAGCTTCCCATTTGTGGTAGCCTTGTAACCAGCTTTCAGTTTCTCTTCCAACTGGGAAAAATTGAACACAAGTGCTGGTGGACCTCTCACATTCGGGGTAGCAGATTCATTCCACCCGCGCTCAACCGCCAGAGATATTACTGGAGCAGATGAAAAGGCACGTAGATAGCTGTGGCTGCCAGTGTGAAGATCAAGAAACATGGGTTTTAAAGGAACAAAGTTTTTGAATCCAAGTTGCCTTTTCAGTAAATGCATTGCCGTGTCAAAATTGCCAGCTGCTGCATGTTCAGCAGCAAGAGATGATCTCTGGATCCAAATCTGGCTTACAGGCATGCCAGTAGTTGGAGCAATAAAAGCCGATGAACTAGCATTTACAGAAGCCCTTGGTGTGTCAGCTTCAGGGGGGAGCTCCAAATCTTCAAGGTCCCATCCTTCCTCTTCCTCATGTCCTTCACCCATTTCCTCATCTTCTAATCCTGCAGTGGCATCTCCATTTTGCAAGCCAGCAACGTCAACCATGTCCAGCTCCTCACCCCAATCACCATCAACAGCTTCATCCTCTTCATCCACCACTCCCCTGCCAACATTATCCAATCCACCTTCAAAAATACCTCTCATGACTCTAAGAAGAGGCCAATCACCACCACACATAATTGGGTTAGGGGGCATTAAAAGAGTGGGCACTTTCCCCTGCGGCAAAGTTGGAACATTTTCTCCCAACTCTGCAGATAGCCTTTCAGCAACATCGTGTAGGCCGTGAACTGAAGCTGTGATGTAAGCAAGGGGCAAGTGGCCAACATTCTCCAAGATCTTAAGACGCTCCTTGACATTACCTAGATACAGTGCATTGTGGAACTGACCCATAACATCATTCTTAACCTCAGCAATTTTCAGCATCTTGGACAGTTTTTCCATATTACCAGTAATGAGATAAAGGAAAGACAGCCTTTCAAAATTTTTAGTCTTCTGGTAGGCATACTCCACGATACCCGCATTGCCTTGGCGAAGAGCCTCCACCCCTAACCTATACCAGTAGTCTTTTTCATCAATTGCTGTAGCGGATGCAACTGCAATTTGAATATTCCCACTCTCCAGAGCCAGATTGAATCTGGTTCTTTCATCTTTCACAAAATGGAGGGCAACTTCGGGGAACCCCTTCTGTTGCAGATAAGCAATCATTGCCTGCCCACATAGCTGTGAGTTCCTTATCATGCTCATTACATGGTCATATCTCTTCTTCAATAGGGATAGCTTGAAAATGTATTCCGTAGCATCAATAACTATGGCCCTGTTTCTCCCATCCCGATCCAAGCAAAAGATAGTATTTCCAGAAACCTTCGTAATGTAAATAGGAATATCTAGGGTTCTGATTATTCCACTGTCTCCATTAGGGAGGCAATATTTTATGTGATTTAGAGTCGTGTAAATGAAAACACCATTGTCATCCCAGCCACCACTCTTTACACGAATTGTCTCATGAAGAGTGCACTGGTGCACAAGCTTCTTGCTGGCAATGATAATGGCATGCTTGCTGAGCAAGGCAACGCATTCCATGTCATTGGACCAAACAACATACTTGATGAAGGAGGTTTGAATTTCACCAAGAATAATCTTCTGCTGCAGATCAAATATAACCACTTTGTCTTCAACTCTACACAGCAAATTATTTGTTCCAGCATAGAATATGGCATCAGCAGCAAAAGGAAGGGGTATCTGTTTACCAGCCTCATTTGCCATATTCTTAATCAAGACTTGGTTTTTGCTTTTGTCAAGCACAGCAAATCTATTCCGTGCAATAAACACAGCTGAACCTCCAACACCTCTCTTTGCATCTTGTAGACTATCACCCCTACTCATGCTGTCTTTGGATATCATATACAATTCGTAAGATCCCCCATCCAAGTCTGAGGAAATAAGAACTGCATTTTCTGTAGGACTGTACGAAAGAGTCCTTGGACTTTGATTTAAAGTGGTGGAACCAGGGCGTCGAATGGGAATAACTTGTGTGTCTCTTTGGGTTGAAAATTCATAGTACCGCAAAAAGCGATCTCTAGCATAGAACAGAGAATTACCACTCACTGCAAAGACTGGTCGTTCCCTCTCTAGCTTAAATACGATCATGCCACTGTCATGACCAGCTGCCAACAGATTCATTTCAGGGTGAGATGAAAGAATCCAAAAACGGTCATGCTCTCTTCGGAAAGTTTGAATGCCAGTCCGCTTTGTTACATCCCAGACACGTATACTTTTGTCCTCCGAGTTGGATACAATTATGTCCTGTTTGGCATGAAACATGACACATGAAACATTATTCATGTGCCCTCTCAAGGTATCCACTTCCCAAGCCTTTGTATCTGAATACAAAATGAACAGATTGAATCAGTAACTCAAACAAGTCTATCCCCTACACAATCGAAATATTATTCAGAAGCACTATAATCTTCTGAGGACTAAAAAACCTTAAGTAACCAAAGCCGTGCCTCTGTATTACAAATGAACAAAATTTATTCTCAAAAGAAATTGTTCCTTGGACTCCTATGAGACTTAACAAGGTAAAATTATTTGTTAAACAGCCCACGAATCTTATGAAAATTTGAATTAATAAGGTGTCTTCCCCAAACAGAGCAGGCAAATATAAATTGATAAGGAAAGTAATTATTATGATACCATTCATCCGCCACAATTTAACTTGGCGATCATCTGCTCCTGAGACAATCAGAGGCAGGTTGGGGTGGAATGAAGCCCAATTGACACCACGATCATGCCCTTCCAAGACATATTTAACAACAGCATCAACACCGCCAAAAAGATCTGTGTTCATCTGACTTAGTCGCAGAATGTCATCTGAGGGAGATACGGTCTTCTTTTTCAGGGAACCAATATCCCAAACACGGACAGTCTGATCTAGAGAGGCAGATACAACAAGGTCCTCTTTAGGATGGAATGAGGCACACATGACATAATGATTGTGCCCTGTCAACACTGAAATACAAGTTCGTGACTGCCAGTTCCATATACGAATAGTCTGGTCATCGCTGGCACTCACAATCCATGGGTACTCATGGTGAAACTGCACCGTACGGATATAATCAAGGTGCCCGAGAAGAGTAAAAAGACACCTATGCATCTTATAGTTCCAAACTTTAATCTTATAATCATCCCCTGTAAAAATGCAACACAGCTAGATTAACATATGAACTGTACAATCTACACATTAGATGAATTTCTGATAAATACATGGAGAAAAATCCCTTTCTCCAGGGGTGAATAGTAAATATAAATATCTTCCATGAGATAGTAACATCGGTGAAAAAACAACAGAGAAAAGAGATTGCATATTCTTCAATTTTTGTTTCACTATTAGTCATTTCGTTAGTTCTAGTTTCCAAGATCATGATCTTGCACTACTAGTACTCAAAGTGACAACAAATTCTCTCTCTAAATAATGACTCCGACATCATCATTCCCGAGAAGGTATTGGTAAAAACAATTCCATCTCAAAATCAATCTTATTTGATAAACCTTGGCAACTTTCGGACATATACACTGCATAATTGCCAAGTCAAATAATCATAATTCGGTACTCCATCAATTTGGACTTTACAAATCATCCACTAGTAAAGCATTCCGGACAAGCACTCGGCTAAGTTTATGTCAATTTCAATTTTCTTCAAAACAAATTCAAATTACGCTTTCAATTTCGTATTCACAGTTACCTTCAACCTATATCTAATCAAACCATATACAAAAACTACTAAATCTAATTGCGAAAAACAAATGCATCAAATCCAAACAAAACTAAAAAAAAATTATTAATAATTCAGATATGAATTTGGTACCTCCAGACACAAAGAGGGGCTGAGATTTGTGGAAGTGGACGCCGCGAACAGGCCCATCGTGCTCGTCGAATCGATCAATGAGCGTCCCCATACGGTAGTCCCATAGCTGGACCACACCACTGTGAAGACTCGCGAGGATCCACGGCCTCTTAGTGTGGAAGCTCAGCCCCTTCACTCTGTTACTCTTCGTTTCAAACTTGGTCAACATCTTTCACCACCGCGATCACTGCACCCAATCGAATCACATCAAAAAAACGGAAAAGATAACCAGATTCAATTTTCCCGCAGTTTCTCGGCAACCAAACAGACCACAATTTCATCAAAACGCAAAACCTAGAGAGCAAAATTGGGAAAAGATCTGAATCGTAACCCTAATTGCAAGAGAATCGTACCTCAGATCCGATCAGTGAGTAAGGGGATCCGAATTTCTCACTAATGCATCCAAAACTTACCTCCAGAGCTCGATGTATGTTTTGTACCTATAGAGAGAGAGAGAGAGAGAAAGAGGAGAGAGAGAGAGGACGAATTTTATTTTATTTTATTTTGCTAATTCTTGTTCTGGGTGACTGTAGTCGTCAGATTGGAATTGGATGGACGTGATCGAATGGAATTGCGTCACCAGAGTGTTGGGCGAGATGGCGATGACCGTATGATCGGGATGGACGTGATTGAGTCGAAGTGCGTCACCAGAGTGAGCAAATTGACTTCGAGTTGCCAGACTCAATTTATTTTCGCTAGTCACCGGATTGAATTACAATTTTCGCAAGGTTTTTATCACGGAAAAAAACTTAAATGAAATAACTAAATTGATTTGTGCGACACAATTTCAAGAATTAAATTGACGAATTTGCTATTTTAAAGACTATTTTAATTAAAATGTCGATTTCAAAGACCAAATCTTTTTGCAAAATATACCATATACCTTGAAAATTTTGAAAATTACAATCCAATTCTTAATTTCCAAAAAAAAAAAAAAGCCTTTTGTTGGGACTTTAAACTGAAATTCAAAAAGCAAATGACTTTTCGGTAAAACATCCATGTTTATACATCCCGATGCAGATTCGAACCTTACCGATTCTCCTCCCCTTACAACCAACCGTTAACCTACTTAATATGCGTCGTCGGAGTTGGTCTTTATGGATGTTTTTTTCACTGATGTTCCGGCTGATCACTCAACAAAACTCCTCGGTGAGATTTGACTTCCGAGCGGGGTTTCCAAAACACTTGAAGTGCGAAATGATACTTTGATAGCTGTCTAATCATTATCTCCAAGCCAAAGTGTTTGCCAACACCGTTTCTCATGTTCTCGAAGGAAAAGAAAGCGATACATCAGAACCCAGCACAGAGGCGAAAAAACTAAATTCCAACACCACATTTGGATACAACAACATTTACTAACACTGATTCAAACAAATGTAACATAAAGAATCAAAATCATGGTAAATCGTTGAGCGTACGAAAATAACCTCTGCGTCTCGAGAGGGTAAAGAAAAGATACATCTGAATTTCGTGGTTCACAAAAAAGAAAAGTAAACATGACGGAAACTAAGGACTACCTCGCTAGCTAGACATCATGACCTGTTCGCTTGACTGAAGAGCTTGGCTAGCAAAGGACCTTACATCAACGTCGGGATCCTCACTAAGCTCAAGCAAACAAGGACGAATAGTTTTCTCCACCACCTGTGCAAAGCGTATTACACATAAGTCCTTTCAGTGCTTTAACTCAATTTCAGTATTGTATTTTGAAAATTATGCTCCTTTGCGTAAGGACTATCAAATGAATTACTTACCGACTGATCAACTATCGGAATAATCGACTGCAACACCTTAGCCACATTGAACTTGATGTTTGGTACCCTACAAGAAGAAATTCTCAGCGCTACAGTGCAAACTAAATCAAACAAAAAGCGTAATTTAACTTAATAGCTTCTAATCTATACCTGTCTTTTGATGCAGTGACTATCACTGGTAGAAGCTTGGAACAAGTGAGTTCTGGTCCCAAAACAGGGGCAAGTAGGGAAATGGCATGTAGAATGGTCATCCGATACAAATAGTGGGGGTTGCTAATCATTTCCAAAACCTGTCAAGAGATTTCGAATTTCAACTGTTTATGTACCATGTCAAAAGTTTTTCGAATTCGAAAAAACACATTCCAATGATCCAGTCCCTTAACAAGGCTGGGTACGATAACCATGTTTAGTAATATGTGACTAGAGCTTAGACATAACCACATCTAATCTTTTCAGAAAAAGGAAAGGAAAGAAAGAAAACCTGTGGAACTATATGCTGCATTGCCCATTCGGGGCCGAATTCTTCTGCAAGGCGCTTCACATTATTAGCAGCTGCATCACGTATTGAGTAAACCTACCATCATCAGAAATATTGTCAGTAAAATAGATCTAAGACGAGGCAATACTGCATCACCGAATACTACAATTTAGACATTTTTAAGTCACACCACCTGTCAACCACCCAGAAAAAAGAATCCTATGTTTTTACTTCATTAACAAGTAAACCATTATAGGCAGCAAATTCATTGTTTATGACGATGGAAAAGAAACAAAAAAGCATAAACATCACTCCTTTTCTTGTTCTTTTTGCTTTTCTGAGCCAAGAGATAAACATGAGATATCGAAACATCAATACTCAAACCAGAAGCCAAACTAACCTTATCATTTAACCACTGCATGCAGAGAGAGCCAAGCTTATCATCAAAAAACTCAACACCCAGCTGACTTGCCAATAAAGGAATGTATTCTATTATTGCAAGCCGAACCCTCCAATGTTTATCCTCTGCAAGTTCAACAATTGCCGGCAACAAAGACTGGGACAGCAGATCAATCCCAATTACCTGCATCACCAAGTAATATCAACATGACTTATGCAAATTCAATAAGAAAACTTTAACTAATCCACCTAATGTTAATGACTAGGATTTCAGAATTTAAAAGCGCTTCTTGGTCTCTTAAACCGGAAAACTTCAACAAGAGCTGATCATGCTTATACCATCACTATGTTCCTTTGCAAATGCTAAAATTTCCTTATCAGATCATCATTACTCTCTGTAAAAGTACAAATTTAGCACCATACTGCAAAAGCTTTTTCTGATTCACCAACATTGCTTCAGCACAAATCTTAGCTATATTTCACATAAAAGCAGTATACTACTAAACAGGTCTACCTTCCCCGAGAATCCAGAACAAAATTGAATACCACATAGTCCAACCACCAGATATAAGTATGTACATTATACAAAATCTCATGTTTAACCACCAGTTCGACACACACAGAAAAAAAAATATGTAAACATACAGAAAGAAAAACTTGTGACAAACCTCGTTGACTTGATCAAGCTTGCTGATAATATTCAATCGCACATCAGGAAACTCGTCTTTTAGAAGAGAAAGAAAAATAGGCAGTAGCTGCTCTATGGTTGCATCCTGCAGACACCAAAAGAAAGTAATAATCATATAATGAGAGGGAGAAAAATTAGCTTCGAAGTAAGAATTTGAATTAAATAACAGCCCCAAAATTTTCTTGCCTTTCCTAAAACTGGTGCCATTCCCATAATTACTGAAGCCAATGCAGAACGAACGTGCTGGGAAGAATCTGTTGACAATTCCTATGGCAGGCAAACATAGTAAGTAAAAGCATAACAGTATTTAGAATTGCCTAAAAACTACAACAACAAAATGCTTAGGGAAAGTATAATCCACACGTTAAGTGAGATGTGCAACCTTTACGAAAGGAAGGATCTGCTGAATGGCAAGTTCTCGATTCACAATTCGGCAAAACTTAGCTACTTTTCCTGCAGCAGCTATTCGTACTTCAGCCTCATTATCCCGAAGAAGCCGAACGTATGCAGGCACCAGGTCCGACCTAATATATGCCAACATCACCACACTCATCAATTAGAACCCAACTAATTAGGTAGAGAGAGATAGAGAAACAACTGATTCACAGTTACAGAATTACAATATCCTAATCCAAGTAAAACAGTATTCACGATAGGAGCCAAGCTACAAAATAAAACGACTACCTTGTAGCTTCTGGACCAACAGCTTCACAAAGCTCATATAATTGATTTGCAACCATGTATCGAACACGCCAAGACTTATCCTGGTCAAAATAACAAGAATGACGAGAGATAATCAACCATTGCAATTCATGTAATTCAGAAGATTGAGTTGCATTTTAGAAAACACAAAGCAACATGATAAACATAAATAAAGAATAACGATTTGTCATTACAGCATGCAATTTTAACACTCAAAATATGATATACCTGTGAAAAGTTAACAATGACAGGAAGAATATGGGCCACACAATCTTGAGGCTCCAACAACTTCCCAAGAGCTGCAAAACCCTCCACGGCCAATAACCGAACAGAATCCTGATCTGAAAACAAGATTCATCGGGGACAAGTTCATACTTAATACCAATGCTAAGATTATTGGTCTTTAATCATAAGATAATACTACACTGGATGATAATAAAATATTATACAAGTGACAAAAGACACACCATCCTGCGTCAAATCCTCAAATATAGACATTATGTCAGCTTTGAGGTGCACAGCTTCTACGGTCCCAGCAAATTTTCCCAGGTTACTTGCAGCAGATCTCCTAACCATGGGCATGTCATCTTGGCACAGTTGACTGTATATCGTTCGTAGTTCAGTTTTTAAAGTTTCTGGTGCACTAGTATACGCAATATGAAACAAACCACAGGATGAAACTCGGGCTGTAAACCACTCACCAGCAGCAAGTCTCTGTATTTAAAATGATATATGAAGAAAAGGAACAGTCATTCCAATGCACCAAGGTATAGAGCATTCTCATAGGGATAACAAGAACAAAATATAAGTTCTAGTGGTTTTTGTGAATAATTATTTATTATGAACTGGGAAGAAAAGAAAGGAAATAACGGAACTTTAACCTACTACCATGGCATTATATATACCCTCCACAAACCAATACATGGGAATTCCAGATCGAACCACAAGATACTGTGTCCAGAGTGAGAGCTTAATGAGAAGGCAAAAAACTACAAATAAATAATGGAAGAGGATCAGATCATCTGACCTTAACCAAAGGAATGAAGTATTCAACCAAGTCCTTTTCTCTCATCTGCCCCCCAATTTTACACAACGAATCCACCGCTTTATCCCTCACACATGTTTCCTCAACGGTGCAGAGTGTTTCCAAAGGCGGGAGCAGAATGTTGGCATGCTCCACACCACCTACATAGGGGATAAACACCCCCAACTCTTCCGCCATTGCCAGAAGCACTTCATCATCGTCATCGTTGTTCTCGCTGAGGAAAGGAATCAGTTCCTTCCTGGTCCTCTCTTCTCCCAGCGCACGGGCAATCGTGGAAAGCCTCCGGATTGAGTTCAACCGGAGCTGAATGTCTTCGTTCTTGAGCTCGTCGATTAAAACCGCAATCGGGTATAAACGTTCATCAACCATAGCCATATTTTTCCACAAATTATGCCGCTAACTGAAATCAAAACACAAATTCCCAAAAGGCTTCAGAAAAACCCACTTCTGCATCAAACACACATACATGTATATAACAATTTTTCGATTGTTTTCGACTTTTCACCCAACTTTTAATCCCTAATCGGAACAAATTCCGTAACTTTACTTCAATTAAATCAATGGACCGTAAATTCAATTAAGCAATGCTTAGCCAAAAATAGAAACAAATTCCAATCCATTTCCAACAAGATCCATAGAAATAGTTCGTAATTAGAAGACTTTTAATTACTTTTACAAGTAAAAACTGAAGCCTGATAAAATCAAATGATATCGGAAAGGAAAAATCGATGCGCGAAATTAATCAAAGAAGAATAATAATCAATCAAGTACACGAACATATACAGCGCAAACAAGAACACCAAGAGGAGAGAGAGAAGGTTACCTGAGGGCTTTGTTTGCAGAGCTTCGATCTAGAAGGAGACAGTGGTGGAAATGGGACAGATCTTTTCGGTGAGAAACCAGAAGGAGAGAGAAAGCGAGGAGAGAGAGAGATACGATTAGTTTTTTAATTTTCCGTCAAAATCCGGGGACCTTTCTTCCGTTCTTTTTTTTTTTTTTTTTTTTTGACCAAACTTCTTACAGTCGGATCCTGCCCGACCCGAATGGATTCACATATTTTCGTTCATTCCGGTTCGGTTGGTTCGTTTGGGTTGAGGCCCTGAACGTATCAAGCTTAAAACTTTTTCTTCATCCGAATCGCCACTCAATACTATGACCTAGTTCAAGTTCAAATATCCATCCTATAATAACCGCTTTATTTCTTTCTTTATATGGCATAGTATACTTGCTAAAAGCGAGAAAAGTCATGAGTCGTCTTAATTATACATCAAGAAGAGAATACTTAAATAACTTCAGCAATACAAAAATATATATATAATCGTTCGCGATACAGGGTCGTTACAGGGCCTAATAAAAAGTTTGAAACTCCGAATTATCTTTTCTTACAATTTGGTGGAGCAAAAACTAAAACCACCAACATGAATATGCAGTGTTAGTCGAAAACAACAATTTCATATCCATTGTCATTATCCCCTAATGCTCTGAGTAATCTTAACGTTAGCCTGCAGATTATCCGTCCCCTAAGCGCGGAGGTATCCACCATCTCCGCCCTTATATGCTTATTCTGTCAACCAAAAAGAGAAAACTTTACCTGCTATCGTTCAATAAGAAAGCCGACAGCTCTTGTGAGTGATGACAGCAGCAGAAGAAATCAGTGCCGTTGTATTCTAGAACTGAACTAGCAGCAGATCTCGATAAAGTGGAATAGTATTGCCGTATGCTGATTTCAGGATTTCAGAGAATTGAACAATCTGATCCAAAACCTTCCGCGAGCTGGCTCTAATACTTCTGGTGGTTCGATAGGTTCCTTGAAATGTGCTTTCTCACTTAATTCTTGAAACGCGTCAACAAGATTTTGAAGCCTTGCAACAAACTCTATCAACAGGGATGTAAATGTGGCCAACGACAATTGACTAGCATTTTCATAGGTGTTGGATTCCTCCGCTGCTGGCGGTTCATCACCCTTAAATTTAAGTCCTGCAGGCCATGAAATCTGTTTCATGAACATGCTTCCTGAGGAAACACCTGCAGGCAAGTTCGAGTGGTTGACATCTGTTGTTACGGAGCCCGTGCCATTTGGCTTCGGGGGCATCTGGCTATCCCAACTTTGTGGCACAGGAAAAGATCTGAGATCAAGTACTGCTTCACTAAGGGACTTGTATTCCCGGAAATAATTTTCGTCATCATCCGCATTCAATAAGTCTTGAGGTTCTCCCAGCTCCTTTGGCCGGCTTCCAATCTCCCAGCTTTCTGAATTAACAAGCAGGTATGACTTCTGGTCAACTTTCTTTTGTAAGTCTTCTGCAGCCTCGTGCACTTCATTGAGTATATCTATGGGACCTATTTTCTCCATCGTTTTCAGTTTGTTTCCAAGTTCACGTAACACTTTAGCACCTTCGCATCCTACCCTTTGAAGCTCCCTACGAAATACTTGTCTTCGCTCAGCAGGAGCCTAAATACACATATCTTGGATGTTCAGTAAACAGATACGATACCATTTCAAATTAAGAAAACAGAAATAGAAACAGATAATTCAGGAAAAAACTATAAATTATGAAGAAGTTATAGGTACATGAGCACAAAACAAGATAACACACAAATACAGTATTATTACCCCACTCAAATAGATCATTCGACGGGAATTCTTCAATACCAAAACACCAGAGATGTTTTGGCAGGAAAAACTTTCCCATGCATGATAATGAATATGCCATGGATACCATGACTACCAGTACTGAATGAGCTTCCTCGTGATTCACGAGTATGAGGGAAAACTAAATTATGGTAATCTACGCGCGATTCATATTAAGGAGCAAAGGTAGATCAAGAGGATATATTTACGCAGCAAACAAATATATGAACACCCTGAGTGCACAAATTCCTTTCTAATCAAGCAGACGTGGGAAAGAAATTACACGCTCTCAAACAAACATAATTAACGATAAATTAGAAGGATCTGCTTTTCGAATGAGTAAATTGTCATGCTACATCAAAGCATCTTTAGAAGCACAGATAAATGAAGAAAAACAATACTACATCTTTGTTATTAATAGCCTCACAATGCTGTTGGATAAAGTTAGTACCTGTATTTCAGAAAGTATACATCCGTGCAATGCCATAACCATAAAAGCACAATGCCTCAGTGCACCACCCACTTTTACATAGTTCTTCCATGGATATCTAAGCATTCTGTATCGACCATGCGGTGGCTCCCAGATAGCGAATCCCATCTTCAAACAAAAAAATCGAGTTTAAAACAAAAATAAAACCAGAAAATCTGCTAATGCCGTGAACTCCTAATCATCATCATATTGCAATGAAAAATACCAGAGTGTCCTCTTGGCTTGTAGATTCCACAGCAGATCTGTAGCCACTATAGAGTGGATCATCAGAAGCTTGATATGTAAGAATCTTGGAAGGGACCCTCTCATATTCAACGCAATTAAGGTAATTGTTAACCACACCTAAAAATGATGGTCAACAAACGAAATTGGTAACGACAAAACTGGGTTTGGAGTAACAGAAAAAAGTGTACAATGTCAAACAAATTCAATGTCAATAGTAAACGAACCTTCCAATGATTTTGCAACACCCAGGAAATTTTTTACCACCAAGTTGTGCAGATCCTCACCAGCCCAAATGGGAAAAATGCATATATTTACTCCCAAACCAACACCAGCACCCAGTGCAATAAGCAAGAATCGAGATACAGCTGTATGAAGAAATTCCCTTGTCCGATACCCAGACACCATTATGAAACAAAATGTCAACAAGAACACCCGAAACCCATATTCATAAGGCTTCATTGTCGGGTATAGCTTCGCATAAGTTGCAAGAAATCCTAGCGACCACATAACATGTCACGAAAATGAAAATCAAACAAAACGAAACCAACTAGCAAGTCTAGCATATAGTTGAACTTTTCAATGACATTACAAAAAACAAAAAAAAGCACACTGGTTCGAAATCCAGACCTACGATAAAGATGCTAGCAAAAATAACAGCTTCTTCCCACTCTCCAGCTAGCCCACATAAGTTTGCCACAGCCAAAGCCAGGCCTCCAGCCGATAATGTCCCCAACCCGCGGTTAAATCCTTTGCTCAGAGTCGCTCCTGCACAAGAACACATATTGCATTGTAAAAGAAATGCACTTCGAATTCTAGCCAAGAACAAATTCGAGTCAAGGGTCCAACACTAACAAAAAGAATTGACCTTTCAAACTATTATTAACAATTTTCAACTTTCGTGACCAAAAACTATAGCTTCACTTCATTATTATAATCATGAGCTCCATGCTTTTTCCAATTCCCTTCATTTACATTCCACTTTATTAAATTCAGCACATTAAAGTTCGTTTCTTTCCACATTAAATAAACAAGTTTACAAACAAAGAACTCGAATTCTGCAAAAAAAAAAATCAAAAGTAATATCCAATAAAAACAGAGAGATGCCCAAAAGGACTAGCTGAAGGAAGTTGAGGTCGCACCATAAAACCAATTGATAACGCGAGGCTAGCCTAACTTCTTATAAACACATACAAGGTCCCGCCTTTCTCCGATGTGGGATTCATACTCACATCACACACGTGTAATCAAATTTGACGAAGACAAAGATGAGAAAATTGCTAAATAAACGGGAAAACGAAGAGAATGGACCCAAATAAAGACAGCAATTTACCTATGCTGAACTCGAACACCACCACAACGGTAAGAATTGCCCAGACGGAGTAGCGGCTGAGCTGCTTGAACGGCTCTTTGAGGAAGAAGAGCAGCGAGACGATCATCAGCGCCAGACCCATCTTCCCCGCGAAGACGATCTTTCTCGGATCGGACTGACCCATCTGAACCGCCCGGCTCGAGACATGCTGCACGGTTCGGCACCAGCCGACGATTCGGTCGGAGACTGATCGGAAAGTGCAGCAGCGGGGAGACCCCGCCGGCTCTTGCTCCTTGATGTGGACGAAGCCGAGCTCGGAGTAGCCCTTCTGGACAGAGAGCAAGCGCTCTCTCTTCTCCTGGAAATTGTACTTGAAGGAACCCAATTTGGCTGCCATTTTTGCAGGGAGAGGGAAAGTGGAAAGCAGAGGGAATGGAATGTATGAGCTCGCGTTTGTTGAACTTGGAGATCCAGATACGATTTTATCGTTGGAACACGTTTCGTAATAATGTCGTAGCTCCTCGAACAGTAAAGAAACTGACGTCTTGAATTATTGCAGCAAAATGTCTGGAGGAAATAATAATAATATTTGTTGTGGCCTATTTTTTTATAGAAAGAATCGTGAAATTTTAGGGATGTTGACTTTGTTTTGTTGTCTTTATTTAAATAGATTACGAGGATAGAAAAATTTGTTGTTTAAGTAATACAAATCCTAATACGAAATAATCACTAGCCTAAATAATAAATCAAATCAACCAAGTATTTGGATAATCACACTTGTATTAAAATTCATACAATAAGATATATCAATTCTACGACATTTAAATTGGACATCATTACTCGTCATGATATTGAATGAGAAAGTTAGATTTGAACGCTCTAACTTCATTTAATCCGCATCTCAAAATCACCAAATTAAACTTACGAAGTAAAATCTTCAAAATCGCCATGAAAATTCTCTAAACAATGAAGCCAGACAAATCGTTATAAACCCTATGAGAGTTTTTGGGGTTCAAAGTTCAAACATACTTCCCCAATAAAAAGGTTAGCTTTGCCTAGGCCTTTTCACGCATTTCTCCCATGACAAAAACTTCAACTTAATTTGGTTAATTTAACAGATTATTCTTCGTTGAAATCTTAAACAAATTGCAAGATTTCAAGCACTAAACAAGTAAATTATCTTTTTCACTAAACCAACAACGCATTCCATCGAAAAAAGCCCACTTACATTAATCCTTAAGTCGAAGATTAAATGAAATCACATGGATAATAAATGTAGTTTGGCCTCAAAGAAAAGTACTCAGTCTCTCAATATAAATAAAATCATATACACTTAACCTGAAGTGAAAGTAATGAACACCAAACTTGAACAGCCTCTCTAACCTCAAATTAAAATACACAGAAACATAAAGTAGTACAAGTTATCCTGCTCACTCCAACTCTGTAAAGAAAGATGATTCCAACAGTTTTTTTTATTTTTTTTTTTTAAGCAAATCGATATTTTTACACTAAAAAAAAAAAGTTCGGCTAAGCCACACAATTGATAGCATATTTTGGTATTGAATCCGTCATCCACAAGATTCGAACCTAAGATCTCTCACTTCCAGTAAAAAAGAATATCACCAGACCGTAGTACTGAATGACCTTACAACAGTTTTAATTACAAATTAATCAGGAGAGTCAAGATTATTGATGTGATTCTATACAAAAAGTTTCAACTTGGTTAGGGTATGATATGACATTATCCCAAGAATTGATCAAAGGCATATGCGGCGCTTGATCTTGAAGGTTTTCTTGATCGTTGGTGGCGGTGTTACTGTTGTCCATAAGCTCTTGTACTTCGAGTATCTCAACCCTGCGATTCGTCTTGTTCCTTATCTTGATCGCCACGTCCTGTGGGATAAATCTGCCGCACACACTTACCTGGCACTCCTTCTTCTCTATCAAATGAGTCTCCAACTCTGAGCAACAAACTCAGTTTTTTTAATAGTTAATAATGGATTAGGGCAGTCGAGTTACACATAAGGCTTAGTAATTGGTCTACCATATATAGTAGCCATATTCTCTAAACCCACACAAAATGGTCAGAAACAACCAAGACATCAACAATCAAATTATATACATATTTGTGTACAAGTGTGACGAATTTTGAAGTATTTTTTTTCTTTCTTTAATTGATATTATAACTTAATTCCCTCTAGCCAACTTTGCTAAGCCGAGTTTAGAGATTACAGAAAAGAACTGTTCTCACCTCGCATATTGAGAATTGCTCTCCTTACTTTTCTGTAACAACCACTGCAGTCCATATGGATTCGCATCAGCATGTAGCAGAACTAAACATGCATGATCAACATAAGATCACACAGATGGTAACTAAGTTTAGAAACTAACGAAGTTCTGACCCCAAAATAAAGGGAAAATTAGGTTCACTTCATTCTTTTTGTTATTCCATTGATTAAAATCTTATTCATTTTGAATTTTTTATCAAGGTACTTGGGTATTAATAACATCATTAACTATTTGAATAATAAAATATTTTTATTTTTAAATATATTCCTTTAGTGTTAAATTACGTATATTTATATTTATGGGTAAATTTTTTATCATATACTTTTATTTTTAGTTTGTACCTATTTTTAATTTGCAAATATTTTTTAATTTGTACGAATTTTCTTTTCATTTTTAATTTGTACCCATATATTAGTTTCTTTTTGTGCTCATATTTTTTAAAGTTTTATTTGTGTTTGTACCCATGTGTATACCGTCACGTGACATTGTATATTTAATCAATGATAGAAAAATTACATATGGTATATTTATGTTTTATGCCTAAACTTTGTATCATATATTTATATTTTTAGTTTGTACCCACTTTTAATTTGCAACATTTTTTTTTTAATTTGTAGTATTTTCTTTTTAGTTTTATTTTGTGCCCATGTATTAATTTCTTTTAGAACCTATATTTTTAAAAATTCATTTGTACTCATATTTTTTAATCTTTTATCTGTACTCTAATTTGTTTATAATGTACCCATTCTTCTTTATTAATATACCACTTTGTTATATGTGAAATGTACCAATTTTTTTAACACTATGGATACATTCTTTTGCCATTTCTTATTTCTTATTTTTACATAGTTTTTATCCATTTATTCAATCAAAATGTTTGAATTTTTTTATTGTAACCATTTTTAATAGTATTATAATGAGGGGTTTTAAATTTATAAGATTATAAATCTCATAAAATATCAAACAGTCAAAACTATAAAAATATAAATATTAATAGTAACATAATAAGGTGTACAAAGTCAAGTGACATTGATCAAACTTTGAATACTATTAAGGTTTTAATTAAAGAATGTTAAAGATTAGGGATCGCATTCAAAGTATCTCCAAAATAAATATCAATTGAAACGTTCCTTATCTGTCATTAAATCGTAATGAGAGAGAGAGAGAGAGAGAGAGAGATGTGTACTGTTGCTGCTGAATCCAAAACTGTCGAATGGACGACGAAAAATAGTGATATGAAAAGGTAATGATGCAATGTGATAATATAGAAGACGAAAAAGGATCAATCATCCATGAGCTGGTTGTATTGATTCTATTGATTCATTAAGTCATGGCTGTTCATCTTGGAATCCGATTCTTCCCACGCAAAGATATTTATATGTGCGTGTGTGTGTTTACATATATGCTGGCAATGTGGTTAGATTTTTTCATTATATTCTTGACTTCTTTGCATTGTTTTAGTACTTCTCACATGCACTAAGCTTAGAGCATAATTACTTTCTTGCTTTCAGAGGCGCAAATAATTATATATGCCATTAGAAAAGCATCACCTTTTTTTTTTTTTTTTTTAAGTACATCGACATTTTTACACTAGAGAGGTGAATAGTTCAGTTAAGTCATACAATAGGCAACTTAATTTGGTATCGAATTCATCATCCACGAGATTCAAACCTAAGACCTCTCACTTTCAAGTAAAGATGAATATTCTCATATCATAGTACTAAATGACAAAATCATCACCTTTCTGAATACACCTTTTTAACAAATGCATGGCAAATGCTTTAATCCAGGTGAAAATATGGAAAGTTAAGTTGACTCTAATTGAGGACTTCTTTTTGCGATTTCCAATTGTCTCTTTACCGTTTTCTTGCCTTTGGAAATAAGGAAAGGCCAATATAAGAAATGGCTGTATAGGCTTGTTTTTCAGCGTAATCATAATGATGCTTTTGAGTTATATCTAATTGTATGTTAAAAATTTATAGGCTGCTTGTAGCGAACCTATTAATAATGGGAATCAAAGAATTAGTAGTTTTGTTTCCACCCAAAATGGAAATGGAAGGTTTATTATGAACTCATAATTATAATCTAAAGATCGAATCGATTTCATGATTATAAGTTCATATTATATAAGATTAGACTCAAAATATATACACATTCTAATTATGAGCAGCCGTATTGGAGCCTATTTTAATAGGTACCATACCATGTTTATCTATGAATCCTAAGCTGTTACATACCTTTTAAGATTAAGAAAACATGTAACCGTACCTTCTTTTTACATACGTATCTCGTTATTTAGGATAATCTACTTTGATGTTATTGAGTAATGTTACGCTTACTACATATTTGCACAATCATTTTGTACCCTCTCTTTAATAAAAGTAAGATGCACACCAATACATGTGGGTTATATCTTTATTGGAGAGATATTACAAATATATTTTTAATATATTTCGGAAGTTATTATAGTAACACCACCTCAGCCAACATTACAGATATGTCGAATGTACCACTCAGTTAATTTCTCCACTGTGGCTGCAGGCAAGTTGTTTGTGGCGGCAGCGACAACGTTCTGCCATTGCAAAATAGGAATTAAAGTTATGCTTACTGTTTGTTCTTTTAATCTATTGGGCCTGTCTACTTGTTCCAATTTGTTGTGGGCTCTTTGCTTATTATGTTTATTGGGCTGGCTGACTTTACCTAAATGTACAAACTTTTTTTTTTTTTTTTAAATCTAAAAAGTATTGGAAAAACGCGAAGAACATAATTACTTTTTCTTAATTGATCGAATTGAGTTAATTTTGCCTTTTTTCCACGAAGAGGGTTTGTTTTATATCATTTGGAGTGGTGAAATATTAGCTTGCAAAGACATAAGCAAAATTTTGAGGTCAATTTACAAAGTTTATTTGGGAGTTACAATAGGCACTTCAATAAAATGATTATGCCCTTCTCGATGCATAATTTTTTTCTTAAGAATGTAAACTAACATTATTGAAGTGTCAATAACATTTTTTATTTTTTTTTGGTTAATCTTTGAAGTTGAATGTACATGTTAGTGTTGTACCTTTGGAAAAGAGAACAAGAAGTGCGTGTAGCAACTGACACCAAGACAGCAAGAAGTGCATGCAGAGAATAGCACACACCATACATGTAGAAGAAACTCATCACATCCAAAACATGCACAATTCATCTATTTAATTTACACCTTAATTGGTAACTTTCTAACTCTTCTACATAAGAACACAATAATGGCTTCCCCTAACAGCTGTCTGCTTCAAAATCATTTCGCCATTTCCTCTCTGACTCTACTCCTCTCTCTCATTTCCCTTCCGCCATCCGTCCTCTCACAAAACCCTACCATTGCGCAATGCACCACGCAGCTTCTTCCGCTGGCCGCTTGTGCACCATTTGTGCAAGGCAGTGCCATGTCACCTGCACAATCATGCTGTGTCAACCTCAAGCTGCTATATAGCCAGCAGCCAGAGTGCCTTTGCCTTTTGCTCAATGGCACTACTTTGAGCGGCTTCCCTATTAACACGACTCGCGCTCTCCAGCTTCCCGTTGTTTGCAGCCTTCAAGTCGACATCTCTACTTGTCCAGGTAACTTCTGATTTCGAAGAAAAATAGGGATTTGTGACGATTCTGATCCAAATCTGTTCGCTGTTCTTTATTATTGTGTAATAATTTACATTAATTTATATTAATCTAATCTTTTTCAACGTTTTCGCTGCAGGGGTGCCTGTGCCTCCTAGTTCACCTAGTTCTCAAGATACCACCCTTGGGAATAACACCAGCTCATCTGCTGCTAATTCTACAATTGCTGGTATGCAAACATAAAAATATCCAATTGTTACACTCCCTCTATTTACATAATAATACCTCTTGAATTCTGACATGGTATTTTTTCGGATGTCAGCCACTCCAATGCCTCAAACAGCACCAATCCCCACCACGATGGGGTTAGGGTTTGGGAGAACTACAAATGCTGGTACCAAATTGAAGATGGGAAGTTATCTTGCAGTGGCTTTCGCCGTGGCAGGTTTTCCAGTGACCGGCGTTCTATTTTAAATATGATAATATTTATACCACCAGATTAATATATTGATGGCTTTTTATGTTGGGGTTAGAGATTTTTACTAATTACTTAGGGCTGAGAATTTATTCCGTTACGGTTTTATAGATACCATCGAACTTCTATTGATTTGAATAAAAACAGTGGTGATTGTCAAATTATATATGGCCTCTCGGCTTATTTAGGTTTATGTTTCAGTGTCATGGAACCGTTTTTTGATGGTGCAACGACAGACAGGCCTACAGTGAGGAGAGGTTATGCCATGTTACCGGAAGTATACACCCGCTTGTAATGATAGATGTAGACACACGTGTATACACCCAGTGACATGCACAAGTTTTCTCTACTTCAAACAGATAAATCCACAAAAAGGGATATCTTTGACAATTTGCTAAACATTGTACAGGATAGTAAAATGAAATTCAGAAAAAAAAGGTGTTTAGACATGGAAAGTCACCTTACAAACAGAGATATTTACCTATGACAGAATGTTTGTTTTCCTAGGATTGTATCATGACATCATGTATTGAGATGCTTCAGATGTCCGTAAGGTCATTTTATTAAGAAACTATTCCAAACTAGGAGCCACTTCAGTCGGGTTGGATTCGAAGACATCCTGGTTGGATGCCTCCGGTTCTTCCAAAAACTCCCGAGACTGAAACGAATCTTTGTAGACTGGAGTCTCCTTGAAATCAGTTGCTCCTTCATTGTAAGAAGTAGCAGCAACTAAGCAAGCAATAAGCTGGGAAATACAAAACAAACAAACGGGGGGTCAAACATTAGCCTTCAATTTGTAAATAACACAAGTGCGAGAGAAATTTACATAAAAATGGAATGTCACAATTACGGTATTTCAATTTATCATGTATTGCTGCGTATTTTAATTTATCCACATGACGCTGTATTGACTTAGAATACCATTATTTGTATGCAAGGGGATGCGGGGTATGTAGTATTCACTTATGAGCTAGACTTCCCTAGACTTGTTCATAAAACTTGACTAAACAGTTTTGGTAACCGTTATGATCTTCAAACTTGAACCGTCCATTTAGTAAATGACAGGTTACGGTTGTGATATCAGTAAAGTGTTGTAAACATAATTTGGATGGACAACGAAGTACACTTTGAAATGCACTTAACTATTTATTTATTTATTTATTTAAGAATCCTTCTAGCAAAAGAATTAATCAAATTGCTAATCATTTAGTTGATTCATAAGCATTTATTAAAATCTGAATTATTACGGAAACCGTCGATAATTTGTTCGATACATATGAATTACTGAACATAAACACCCAACGTAAATTAGGGATCAAATTTGATGAACGAATTAACAAAGAGCAGTGAACATACCGCAAAGCCAATACCAAAAGCCCACAAGTACTCCACAAAGAATCCAAGCCAATCCCATTTTTCACCTTCCCAGAAGCAAGGCTCATCCCCCGGAAGCTTTGGCAAGAAATACCCATCATCAACGTTTCCCACAACCCCACCACCTACGTTTTCAATCTCAGCCGTCCGTTGCGACCCCATCATGTCTTGTTCTTGGTCTCTGGTAGTTGTGGTGCTCTTCCTGTTCTTGCCGTCGGTCCTCCCAGTTCTGGAAGTAAACCTCTTGGCTGACACCACGTAGAGGGCTCTTCTGGAGGAGGAAGGAAAGAGGAGGTGGCGTTGAAAGGAGAGGTTGGTGTAGGGGTACTGTCTGGTGGTGGTGGAGCTGCTGTAGAGGACTCTTGCTCCGCCAGTGGAACTTCCACTGTTGGCTATGGTAAGAGCCATGAGGGGAGGAGAGTGAGAGTCTCTGTGTTCGTAGCAGCACAAAGCTAAATGAGCAAGGTCGAAATATCTCTTCAGTATGTGTGGATGGGATGGGGAGATGCTAATGGAAGTTTTTCCATAAACTTGACCCGAATTGTTTCCATATTGGACCATCGGGTCCATCCTTTAATAAACTATTTATATCATATGAGCCCAAGCAGTGAAGTGGTGTTGTTTCTTTTCTCATATTTTTTTATTCAAACATATTTTACATTCGGATGTCGTAGATTATATAAGGATATTTTATACTAAGAGGTAGGAGATTTGGTTTAAGTTGCATAATAATTCCCTTACAAGTAAAAAGAAAATTCATTAGACTGTAATGTTATTGCCAACCAATTTTCTAGCTCTTATTTATGATAAAGAAAAATAAGTATTTCTAGTTATCCAAAATGATGAAGGTTGGAAGGTTTTTTTCGTATTTTTTATGAACAAAAGATATTATCTATACTAAGGGATGGAGAGTAGGCTAAGCCTTACAGTGAGTTAGCAATAAAATGTTAAAGACTCTGTATTTGATAGATAAACCCTTTAGCATTTGTCTCTAACTACTACAGCTTAGTTGTATTAATTTTGATTTATAAATGAGAAGTTTAAGGTTTGATTTTTGCCAAAAACAAATTCAAACCAAATTAATATGATTAGACCATTGTGATGTTTATCTCAAGTAAATCACCCTTTTTCCTATGGGAGGCAAATCTCCTTTATTTATATGTATATATTGTAGCCCTGAACCTGAACTTATAATTGGATCGGATGTTATTAGATTTTTAACTCAAAGTGAATGGCATTAAAATGTGCAGATAAAAAAAATCCTACTTATGAGTTACGACTTGACACATCCCGATCGAAATCAAGGCGTGCTGACCGTCACGTGAGAGTGACGTAACCATGTGCACAATGCGGAAGCAATATTGATATAGAGAAATGCGAATAAATAAAAACCAAGTTACCAGCAATACTAGCTAAGAAAAGGTGCTAGTGCGAGATTAAGTGTGAAATACACAACCAGAGCATAAGTAACCTAGGTGCAGTCTAACAGGACAAGTACTAATTAAACAACACCTAAAGGTGATCCTACACTTGTGAATTCTGTCAGAACCTCCACTGGAAACCTCGTAAGCCACCAATGATAACTCCTCCTAGAACCTGGAGAGGCGCAAAACATAAAGTGTGAGTGGGCAAAAACAAAGCTTTTCAAAACCATTTCATTTCTCAAATGTTCTAACCCCTCGCCGTAAAACCTGTATAATTTCCCAGAACATAGAATATATATATATATATATATATATATATTCGTATCTCAAAACCATGCTCAACAAGCTTTAATCATAAATATGTCATGCCAAATATCTTAATACGACAGAATAAGTAACTTAGGTAAAATAGATTAATGAGAAATAACATATCAGTCGGATCCACCTAAAGTGGCGTGTACGATTGAACTTCTAGCTCATACATCATGCCTGCACATGAGTCGGAACCATCTATAGTGGTCTGTACGACAGGACTGGGTATAAATAAATATGCTCTAGTGCTACGATCACGTGAAGATTGTGCGAATAATCGCGGGTCACCTACGAGTCGGAATCACCTATAGTGGTATGTATGACAGGACTGTGCACCTAACTTGGATCCAAGATGAGCATATGGTGGGGAGGTGAACATTACGTGAAGGACTGTGTCCTAACTTTGGGCGGGAGCATTAACACCGGAGTGCAGGTTTATGAGCTCTCAACACATCTCACGTAATCATCAATTTACATAAACAACTCACCTGGTACTTACCTGAGTGTACACATCGTCAAATCATAAATATATGCAACTACTAATGCATGAGTAAAATAGGCATATACTTTGCATGGCATTTCAACATAATTCATTTAAACCGATTTTTTGGGAAAAATCTTAAGTATATAGGCATATATGGAAAACCAAAAGCCCACTCACTAGTATGTGGAAATGTCGTAGCCCCCAAGCCTCAATTGACTACGCTCGTCCTGAGGATAGGTCTCACCTATATGCAAAACAACTATAAAAACGTTAATTTAAAGCACATAAATGAAACTAGCTAATAACTTCTCATATATTGCTCAAATGAGGTGTTTGAATATACCAACGTGATCTACTTAACACCACGAACATCCCCATATTTTTAGAAAAAATTTTCCGACCACTCATGCGCCGACCAAGGCACGGCCAGACGCGCCCCCACGTACGGCCATGTGCCTGACACGCCTAACAGAAAAGTTAACGCCGTAAGGAATATTCCATCAACTTTGACGGAATATTCTCTTTTCTTCTCCGGTGAACCACCGGCTGCCGTCGCCGTCGTTGGAAACTAGAAAAATATTCAAAACTTCATATCTCACCCAATTTTCAACCAAAATTCATGAAATTTTCACCAAAATGAAGCTTTGGATGAGAAGAACACATTCTTACCAATTTCAAGACCTACAATCCCCGGAATCTTGCCAGAGAACCCTCGATAATCCGACCAAAATTGAAACTCACCAAACTCAACTTCCCGACGTCCAAAATATCTATTTTTCTTCTCCGAGCTTCGTGAAGATGTTCTAAAGCTCCCTAGAAGCTTAAAAACTTCTAAAAACTTTACGATCACAATTGCATGAACAGTACCTAAATCGGAGCTCGCGAGAAACTAGGGTTTTTGAAGGTTTCACGTCCAACTAAAGGTATGGATCGACTTCTGAGCTTGCAAGGAGTCCAAAAACACCAACAACGATCTCGATCTGTGACTGGAAGGGTTGGTTTAAGGTTTGTCCGTACAGTTGTACGGAAATGGGAGAAAATCCCAGAGAGAGGGTTAACAGGAAAATGGTTTGTGTGTGTGTGATGTCCAGCTGAGTCACCAACCAAAAACAAATAAAAAATAAAACCTAAGTCCAAGTTCCTAATTGGTTCCCAAATGATATGACTTAGCATAAATGGTCCACATCCAAAGTAAAACCACATGGCACCACAAACATTCAAGGGTACTTTAGTAATTTCATGCCATCGATACAAATATTTCAGGACGGGCTGTCACACGACTGACCTTAGATTTAGTTACCCTTTTTTAGATTGATTTACTCTTAAAAAGGGTAACCAGATCACCATGAATTTCGCTACTAAATTATAGCTTAAATTTATTGTTATAAAAAAACCCAACAATTTGTGTGCATATCACCAAAAACGTTCCCTCTCAAACACTTCAACGGCGACCAGTAAAGCTATTGGCTCTCTTCTGGATGAGAGATGATCCTCATTGTATTCTCTTTGTGAGGATTTTGAGGATCCTTCGTTCATCGTACATTATGCTGTCAGTTTTCGTTAAGTATTGTTTATATTCAATTTTAAATAAAAACAAATTACAATGATTTCTGACCGCACGATATACAATGAACATATGTAATTTGAGGATCCTCGGGATCCTCACTCCTTCTAGATGGTCTTCATAACCCTCTATCCCTTTGATATGTAGCACATCTTGCGTTGCATATGTCAAAACCAAATACCCATTAGAAACAATATGTGGCAAACTAATTACCACCTATTCCCTATTTCGTAATCTAAAATTGTAATTGATAACAAATATAATGTATATTTCGGCTAATGACATTTTCATTAATCAACAATGTAGCGATCACATTCCTTTAGACCATCTCCAACCCTTGGGTTAAAACCTAAAATTTTTTGCCCAAAAAATTTGGGTTTTAACCCAGAAATAGCTTTTTTGCTCCAATCTTTTAGGCTAATTTTTTTCTCAAGGTTACTTTTTAAAAAGAAAACATTATGTAGACTATCCTAATTTAATTTTATGAACATTTTAACCATAAAATATTTAGATTCCAACAAATATTGAAAAATCACTAATGAAACTTGTGAAACACTATGAAAGAATATGAAACACATAAAAGAATTTTTTTTTTTTTTAATTACTTTAGCTGTTGGATTTAAATTTGGACCTTTAGATATTTTTTTTTACCATTGGATTTCATCAAATTAGATCTTAACCGTTGGATTCAATGAATTTATAAATATAAAACTAAAAAAATATATACATATATGTTGTACCAGCCCCACTAACCCAAGGGGAAATCCTGGGCTAAATTTGGTGTCACATCCCGGCCCATGCCCCATCACATCCCGGGCTCGACTCCACCGTAGCACAATATTGTTCACTTTGGGCCCCTACTATGCCCTCACGGTTTTGTTTCTGGGAACTCACACGAGAACTTCCCAGTGGGTCACCCATCTTGAGATTGCTCTCGCACGAACTCGCTTAACTTCGGAGTTCCAATGACCTCCGAAGCTAGTGTGTCACATCCCGGCCCGGGTGGGACGACTTCCCGGGCCCGATCCACCACCGTAGCACGATATTGTCCGCTTTGGGCTTACCATTCCCTCACGGTTTTGTTTTTGGGAACTCACACGAGAACTTCCCGATGGGTCACCCATCCTGGGAGTGCTCTCGCGCGCTACTCGCTTAACTTTGGAGTTCCTACGGAACCCAAAGCCAGTGAGCTCCCAAAAGGCCTCGTGCTAGGAAGGGATGGGAATATACATTTAAGGATCACCCCTGGGCGATGTGGGATGTCACATAGTGAGTTCCCAAAAGGCCTCGTGCTAGGTAGAGATGTGAATGTACATATAAGGCATAGAGGATCCACTCCCCTTGGCGATGTGGGATGTCACAATCCACCCCCCTTAGGGCCCCGACGTCCTCGTTAGCACACTTCCGGCCAAGGATTGGCTCTGACAACAAATTGTCACATCCCAGGCTCGACTCCACTGTAGCACGATATTGTCCGCTTTGGGCCCCGACCACGCCCTCATGGTTTTGTTTTTGGGAACTCACACGATAACTTCTCAGTGGGTCACCCATCATGGAAGAATATGAAACACATGAAAGAATATGAAACACATAAAAGAATTTTTTTTTTATTACTTTAGCCGTTGGATTTGAATTTGGACCGTTAGCTATTTTTTTTACCGTTGGATTTCATCAAATTAGATCTTAATCGTTTGCTTCAATGAATTTATAAATATAAGACTAAAAAATATATACATATATGGTGTACCAGCCTCACTAATCCAGGGAGAAATCTTGGGCTAAATTTGCCCTAGAAAAGAGTTTTGAGTTTTAACTCATATTTGACTCAAGAGTTTTAACTCATAATTGAAAATTTGCTATAAAATTAATTGGTAATACAAAGAGTAGTCAAACTATTTAACACATAAAAGATTTTTGGGGTTTTTTTAACTTTAATCCTTCAAGAAGTTTGAAATTTAAAATAAACCTGGTGTTAGATTACATATTAATTATAATCACTTGATGTGTCCTTAATTCAAAATAATTAATGTACATTTTATTTAATGTCTCCCATTAAATATTTAAATTTATTAACATATAAAAATTTAAATTTATTAACATACACTATTTAATTTATTTTTTGACCAAAAACGAGTTTTTTAATTTATTAATTTTATTTAACATTCTTCAAACTTGAAAGACTCAATTAATTTACCTAAATGTTAGTATCAAAATGTGTGTACCGCAATATATTATATTAAACTAATGTATTTAAATGTTAGTACCGAAATATATGCACTAAAATGTATTATATTCAATTAATGTACCTAAATATGTGTACCGAAATGTATGCACTAAAATGTTAGTACCGAAATCTAATATATGAAATTAATGTACCTAAATGTTTATATCGAAATGTATGTACCGAAATGTGTGTACCTAAATATGTGTACCTAAATATGTGTACCGAAATGTATTATAATGAATTTAATGTACATAAATGAAGAAGACAAAGTACATCGAAATATATTATATAACAAAAATTAGTTTATTTTAAAGTTTACAACAAAAATATTACGATAAATGAAATGAAAATGAAAATTATAATGAAATAAAATTAATACATTAAAAATTAGGAAGAAAAAAAGAAATAATTAAAAAAATTTAAAATATAATTAATAAATGAGGTTATTAATGTATCAAGAAACTAAAATTAGATTTTGATCTTACTTATGGTTTTAATCTAAAAGTCATTTTTGCCCAGGATTAAAATGAAGTTTTATAAAGATTTTTTTGTCCGATGTGAGATTCATTCTAAATAACTTATAATATTGTGACTGAATTATTTGGATAGAAAAACTTAAAGAAAACCATAATAAACTGATGTAAAAATCCAACATTTTGATTTCCATATATTTAATTTGTTCTTCTTTGATTTGTTGGCAAGCAACCAAAAGATATGAAAAATATATCATCATTGTGTTTCAAAAGAATACTAACAGTTCATTGACAGAAACTTGCACTTCGATTCAATAATCATAACTTTATAAGTAAAGAATCATGAGTGTGGAATCCCTTAACCAGTCATTAAAAAAAATATTACTGTTATCCATCATCCATTTTAACTTTTCATACACCCTTTATTAATTTTTATTTTTGATAATTTTCAATTTATTCGATTGAATGCTGGAATTGAAAAAAAATGTATAAAAAAGGTGTGTGAATAATACCGCACAATAAAATTACTAAAGCCACACGTATCTCATTTATGGAAATTGATATATAATCAACGACCTCCATTACTACTTTCATCTACACTGTTTCAGTGATATGTGCCTTTCAGCTGTGTGCTGTGGAACAAAGAAATCATGAAAACGATAGCAAAACCATTAACTCTTCAAATCGAAGGATCTACCCGGCCACCATCCTTCCCTCCTGTTTTTGAATCACAGACCATAAATTCTATGTTTCACAGTCAACCAATAAGTAATAATAAGCCATAACAACAGTGGCGGAACTAACATGGAAGTTTTGGTTGCACTTGACCCCAAAAACTTCAAAAACAACATGCATGTTCGTTTATATATCGTATTTGACCCTATAAACTAATAATCATATAGTCATGCTGATTCATGTAAACTAAGCTGTATGACAATATGTCATTGGTTAGTCAATTGGATTGAGTTAGTTAGGAGGAAGTTGTTAGAAAGGGTAATTGAGTCAATATGTAATGAGATATTAGCTATTATAAATAGCTGATGTAGCAGTCATTTGGCATTGGATTGTATTTCATTTACTCTTCGAAATATACAGAGCTCTCTTCATCTTTATTCTTTCTGCCATTGTTCTATACTCTGAGGGTATCATAGTTTCATAGGTTAACTAAATTACAACTTTCTCCTTGTACTTCTTCTATTTTCTTCTATCATATTTATCTTCATTTTTCTCTTCTAGTATGAAATACTTTAGTTGTAAAGCGTTGACAGTTTTCAACATCTCTATAGTATTTTGCATCGACAAGCATATCTACAAATAATAATCGTTGCTAACATATATTGGCACAAACTTTTAGCATAGGTTGACAGGAATTGACAGATGTACTAAGTGCTCAACAAAATGATCTGATAAATTTTTTGTGTGGATATTATAATCCTATTATTTAAAAATTCTGTCCACGCCACTCAATCAATAACATACCATTTTAGTATCAAAATCATTACAAATATATAACTTTCTGCATTCGTATGCAAACTAAGAACTCATCTGAAAAAATAATCCAAGTGGAGACTGAGGGTCACTCATGCGCAGTAAAGATTGAAACGATTTTTTGTTAAATTAAGATATTTTGATGAACATGTGTAAACAAATTTTAAACCAAAATATTTATGCCAGGTAACATCTTACAGAAATTTTGTTCCATTCACAGTTTTCTTTACTTTGCTTTCTGTCGAGTTTTACAACCTATCATATGCACATCTGCATGTCTAACACGTAAAATGAAACAAAACCCCAATTTACGCATGCAGCGGTCTCCGGCATGCAGCCAGAAACGTTTCTACAAAGCCGAAAGGGACTCGGTTCGCCACGAAACATCCGCAACGCCGCCGCCCGGGTAATCAAACAAACCGTCTAAAGCCAGGTACTCCACCCCACCAATATAATTGTTATTAGCAAATTCAGAGTCGCCACCGATTCCGAAGCCGAACGAGTCGTAACTCGGAATCATGTCGTTCTCGAACCCTACCATGCCATCCAATTCAACGGCCTCGGAGCCACTCGTGGTGAAATCAGCAGCCTCGATTTTTCCCTCCTCACTTGCTCCATTGGTCGGTGGAAGACCAAGCTCGTCGTCAGAAGCTTCCAGAAGGTAACCAAGTTCCGGCTGCGTCGACTGGCCTGAAGCTGACGTGGCTTCAGACGCGGGAAATGCCGGAACTTGTATCTCTTCCTCGAAGCTCTTAATCACCGAGTCAAGGCCTTGAATCTCTGGGACGGCGTCAGAGTCGTCCAGGATGTTTAGTAGATCGTCTTGTATCAGCTTGACCTCTGCCGAGCCCATCAACTCGTCCGAGTCACCTCGGTCGGGAGTCTGAGTCAACGACTCGCCCGAGTTAACATCCAAATTGTTCGATTCCTCTCCGGTGGTGCCGGACTCGTGGGAGCTCGCAACCGAGTTGCTCGAGTCAACTCGGACAAGTTTTGACACGGGTTGGGTATGGTTGGTTTCTGAGGAGTCCGAGTTCTCCGAGTCATCTCGGGCTCGCTTCCTATTGTGGTTCCTGGTGTTATCCATTTTGTACACCAATGAGAAAATAGAAGAGTGGGTTTTGGCTTTGGTTCCAAAGGGGCACAAGCAAAACCCAAATCTAGGATTGTCTTTTTCTGTATAGAGAGAGAGAGAGAGAGAGACCGAGTAAAAAAAGGTAGGGGTACAATATTAGGGTTTTGGGAGAAAAAGTGGTGGTAGGCACGTACAATCAGTAAGGGGTTAGAGGTGGTATATATAGTTGGACAAGGAGGCAAATATTAGTTAATGTTTTCTGTAGAGAAGGAAAGTTGTTTGGGAGATGGGAAAAAGATAGCGGGGGGGAGAGAAAAGTTGGGATGGTGGATGAGAAATGGAGAGAATTAGCAAATTCTTTGGGGACCTCAAGAAAGAAAAGAGGGTTGCAAAAAGCAAATGGTATTTTGAAAACTTGAAGAATGAGTGAGAGAGTTGAATTGTGGAAAGGATTTATATATAAATAATGGAGACGGAAATAAGGGATTGGATTTGGCATTCAAATTTAATAATGGAAGAAAACCGAGAGTTGCGGGCACCGCGAAGGAATGGAAGCCCCTCACGCAAGTCTTGCACTTTTTTTAAATAAAAAAAGTCACTTCTTTTATTTTTATTTATTTTGTCAACATATTTTTATGTTTGCCAACTTTTTGTTATATCTCCATCACAGAAGGTTGTTTACGAATTTTAGACTCATATTTTATTTGGCAAGTTTTGTATTCGAGTGAACATGATGGTGATCAGAAAAACACGGAAAGACGATTTGAGTCTTCCGATTTTTAAAATGGTGAATTGTCAGTTACCAGCTGGTCCCTTGAAAGAACTTTTTATTAGCTCTACAAAAAAACTTTTTTAGGTATTTTTATTTTAATATATTTTCTGTTATGTAAATTAATTATATTTAATTAGGAAAACTAATGAAAAGGGTTTGAAAACTTTGAATTTTAACGATAAGGACAAAATACAGGGTAAATTGAATAGTACCATGATTGATTTTTTAGTGTAAAAATATAGTTTTTTGTTAAAATGAATAATATCGTAGACTTTTCATTAAAACTTCTTATTTAATTTTAAAATATGGGGTACGTTGAGGACCCACGGGGTTGGGTGAAATCATGTGTTTGGTTTTGATTTTTCATATTTTTGTTTAGGATTGGATGGGAATGGTGATGAGGATCTTTGGCTTAGCTGTCTTTGTTTGTTCTTGACGATTTCTTGCTTCCTTTTTTTTTTTTATTATTATTTTTATTTTATTTTATTTGCGTAATGATAGTCTTGTTATAGTAAAACCTTCATCAAAATCAAGTGCTTTACTTGATAAGTTCTTTTTTTGAAGTCAAAATTCAAGAACACAATCAATGTTTAAACATTTTCATTAATTAACTGTTCACGCTGTCAATCAGTCAATGCCAATAGTTTTTGGGTTATTTTATCAATGGTTTTAAGATTACTATTGCTTAAGGAGAGTTTATCCTTTTATGTTATTCCATAATTTTGTTAGTACTTCTCTTATTTTGGTTGATAACAAGAAAATAATGGTTTTAAGATTACTATTGGTTAGGAGAGTTTATCCTTTTATGTTATTCCATAATTTTGTTAGTACTTCTCTTATTTTGGTTGATAACAAGATAAAACACACATGGATGTATATTAACTCTATTAAAAAACAACAAGAAAAAACAAGTTTAGGTTAGTTATAAACGTATTCGTGTCATAGTCGTTTTAACGTATATAACACGATCGAAAAACTATTTATTTGAAAATGACGCACTTTAACACAATACTTATTTAACTCACACATGACGAATACAAATTCATACAAGTTATACAACACCATATAACTCATTTAAATTAAAGGTGAAACAATAGATTAAACTTGTTTTATTGAATGTGAACATTATTTATTGTGGGTAGTATTTTTCTATCATATTTTTTTCGAGTAATATGTTTAATAATTAATTAGGTCATCTCCATATATAAAACGAGAACGATAAAAAACGAAACATTTAAAATGCAACAAAAATGCCTCTTCTTTATTAAAGCTTTCGTAAAAGACAATTTAAATAATAAGAGACAAAATAATAATTCAAAACAATTTAAATTTTGAGTGAAATTATACATTAAAAAATAAAAAGAAACCCACGTAGTGGATGGTCAATAGTGGCTTCATTTTTTTACTATTTGTTAATAACAAAATATAATTCAAGTATTAAATTTTGAAATCCAAAAAAGAATTTAATGTCGAAGTGTCAATTGCTACACCGGTATGCGTGTGGCAAGAGGTTATAGATCCCTAATTGTATTCGTGTTGACAAACATTCAATCCGTGAACAAGAATTCCACCCTTAAAACAATCATCTCCCATTCCAACTTTCTCTCTGAAAAGAAAAACGTCGACAAAATCTAGGATTCCAAAAACTAAAAATTGATAAACCTGAATTGAGAAGTGACTTCTTCAACATCTGCATAAAATTGGGGTATTTATACCTCTTTTCAGTGTCTTTAAATTTGGCAACGATCCTCTCTTTATAGTATTTCGTTTTGTTAAATAAATAATATGGAAGAATGATACATTTGAATACAAATTACCAAAACTAGAGCTTTAACCTAAATTTGATTTAGTGCCAACTTTTAAATGCAATTTTAAAAAACAAAAAGACTGAATAGTAAATCTCAAAATAAAGAATGTGGAAGAATGATATATTTGCTTTTCTTTTTAGGAACTGTTATTATCACTTCAAAATTTTCGTTCTACACTCATTATAAGTTTTTTTTTTTCTAATTATAGAATGTTTAAAGTGCAAAATGAGATTTTTGGAGTTCCAACAACAATTCCCTTCTTTTTTCTGTTTTTAATTTTAGTCAGTTTAGCAAAATTAAAAGGATCGTTGATTTCTACGTTATTCCTCTATTTAAATCTACAAAATGCAATTTGTGAATTGGGAAATGCTGGTGCTTCTGTATTAGCACTTCAATCTAAAATTAGCCTATGTTAATCCCACTGTTTTTATTCTTTGTAAACTTAAATTTAATTAAAGTTTTAATGTGCTAGTTGAATACACGTGATATAAGTAGAAATAAAAAAGTTGAAATGAGAATATGAGTTAAGAAGGTTTAGCACTCTTCTTGTGAACAATCTGCTTCTAACTAAACTGTCACTTATATGTATGTTGGATTAGAGAGTTTCAAATACCAACTAATTTTAGTTTTAATAGATAAAAACACTTTTTTAAGAAGATTAGTAATGAAATATTTAAGCACTACAAAGTTAACCATTTTTTAAGAAGATTAGTAATGAACTATTTGATCACTACAAAACTCATACTAAAAGTAGTAAAGGATAATAAGATGGACGGTAAGGATATGATTTTGCAAGGAATCATTTGAAGTCGAGTTCTCTCAAATATATTTATCTAATCATATTTTCAAATTTTTTTATCTAAATTTTGTTGCACGTTCTTAACAAATTTTAAGATCATTTCACCAAAGTTTATAAGTCCCTCTTCCAAGATAGAGATTAATTTGCGTTCTAGAAATATCATGCCTTCTTGAAGCATTTAAATTATACATAGAACCTTCAGATACGGTCTTTTAATGTAGATTAAGCAGAATATAAAACACATGACATTATATTATTAGTACAAGACACACTTATATTTGAATCCTTCTGTAACAAATAATAACTTGACTCAATTTAGGCCCTACCACCTGATAAAATGATGCCATATTACTTGTCACTTTTGATTGGACATTCATGACAAACATGACATTGTGCACTTAAAATATTTCTCGTAACGTAAACTACTATTGATAGATTACCGATACGCTTGCTAATATCAAATACACAAATAACATGTTATTTTTAGTACTATATTTTAGTGATATTTTTTTTCACTTATAAGTAAGATATCTTTTGTTTAATTATTGACAAAGGCGAATTTGAACCACTTTATTGCTAATTCATTGTGAGACTAAGGCTACCCCCTCCCTTTTAATATAGATAATATCGTTTGTTAAAAAAAATACACAAATAACATTACGTAGTCAATCAACATAATTGAGATTTTTTATTATGCTCGAAATACGAACACATCATTCTATATCATTATATAAATAGAAGGATACTTCAAAATATACTTCTCTACTTATATGATAACATATTACGTACCGCTCTGATATCGTGACTAAAGATATAAAATAATAACTGATAAGTATGAATAGGCTGAATCGGTGAGTATTAATTTCCTTCGTGAGAAAAATCAAAAACTTGCTAAACGTTGAAATCGAGAAAAATAAAAGGGTAAGGCTGATGTGATTTCGAAGAACTAAGTAAAATGAAAATTAATAAAAATAATTTGAAAATTTTGAATTTTAATGAAAATGATAAAATAAAAAATAAAATAAATAATACTAATATTGACTTTAATGTAAAAATATGAAATCTTTTTGTTAAAATTCTTACGAAAAAACACATCTTCACAATCATACATTGCATCTGCCAACACGTCTGTACGTGATAGATCTCAAATCCACACCAAACCAGTTGGCCAGCCGACTCCGAAGCCGACTCATCTAAACGGCGCCGACAACATGAGAAACAAAAGAAAAGCTTCTTTTGCGGCTTTTGAGAAAATCCCCGACAAAGTCCGAGTCAGCTTCTGCGGCTACAAAGCATGCACATCGCAGCATCATCTAAATCCGCGGCACGTATTACGAGAACCACTACGTCCGCCATCGCCACTCGACCCGACCGACCTACCACCGCCTTTTACAGTCTTTTATTAAAGCGTCGGATCCTCCGGTGACCGGGGCGTCTGCGTGGCCGCGCGTCGAAAGTGACACGTTTAGCGTTGTCATTTTATATTCATTTTATGGGGGGCGGCGGCGGCGTGGTTAGGGGTGGCGTGACGCCGTGGGCAAAATAATTATCTCCGTGATCTGGTGGTTATGTTATATTTAGAAAATTTTAGGAATATCTAATTTGGTTGATGGAGATCTTTCCATGTCATGGA